CCCCTAAATCACTTTGTACCCCTTTGTACCCCCGAATTGTTGTACCCTCCGAATTATTTGCCGAATGATGTTGTCCTGGTAATTTTGAGCAGCAAAACTAGTAAAAAGGTGCATTGAGCCATTGGAACTATGACGTGCAAGGTACAAACTCCAATCTTTATGACTCTGACAAAGAAAATGTTTTCGAACAATCTTTGAAAATTTCCTGAAAGTTATAGTCTAAAAGTGATTTCAGTACTAATTCAGAACACAATTTAAGATTTCCGAAGAGAAAAGTTCGGGCATCAACTAATAAAAATTTCTGATTCGCTTGTCCAGATTTCAGCTCAATCCGTTAACTCTGAGTGGGTGAAAGGTGCGCGACATACATCCGGACATACAGAATTTGGTGAATGTTATTATTAATGATGATTATATTAGAACAGTTGGACTACAGATCTCTTTGAACATGATTTTGATTTTAAATCAGCAAGTTTAACATGAAAGAGTTTATTGAAAATTAAACAGGCAATGCAAAACCACACAACACACTTCCATCCGCTTTATTAGTTTGATCGCAGGAATTTGCCCACACGAATCCGTTCAATGCGTAAAGACAATACGTTCTATAACTGAAATAACAAATTTGTATGAGTGTGATCCAAAAACATAAAACTTACGTATCATACTTCACTGTCACACCACTCATAGACGTTGTTAAGCCTCCATCCTGGAATGTGTAGTCGCCTGGCTAAAAATTCCAGAATTACAGTAGAATCGAAAAGTTATTATTTCCCACCGAACACGCAGTAATACATGAAGTCGTACCATCAACCCACAACTCTCTCCCAATACCTAAAGAACAATTTATTAAGTTTTTGGATCAGAAAAACCTCACCGCAGGTAAGCGCATCCAATTCTGCCTGATTGGCTACTCCCACCATTTTCAAGCCCTGATCTTCACAATACTTTCGTGCGTCATTATTGGTTCCCTTGAAATCATAGCGTTTAACACAGACTGTCATTGTTTCTGATCTTTTGAATATCATCCCGGGAGCAGGGCAAGTGCATTTGATGGTCCATCCGTTTTCATTTTTCACCCATTCAAAAGGATAATTGGCATCGTTCCGGCGGTCCACATAAGCCATTTTTATGTCGAGGTACGAGCCAGTGGGACATACCATTTCATTCGTCTTGAAAGTATTGGATTTCTCCTGAAATATATTAGGATGGACCTACTTTAACTGCAACCATAAGCCCATCAGATTTTGGAACCTCCAATAAACTTGTGGATTCATTAAATGAAGAGAATTTGTAGTTCAAACAGTAACCAGCGGTATCCATATAAGCCAGAACACATTCCTTATCATCGAGACATTTTGTAACACACGTGTCTTTGGCCATTAGTGATCCGGAAGTGGAAGGTAATTGAGACTCCACTCTACCATAGAACTTAATCATCATGGCATCATATTCCGATTTCGATCTGGATACCAGAACAAGAAGTAAATAGAATATAGGGCAGCACATTTGAGTGTAGGAGAGGAAAAAAAGTTTGGAAAGTGTGAAAAACTTTTGCGAGGTGTGGAAAAAAACTACTTTGACTGATGTTGTCCCGGTAATGCTGAGCAACCAATTGAAACTTGGACTAGTAGTTCGAAAAAACAAAAAATGTAAACTACAACATTGTTGGTTACAGTATGACAAAAGTTTTAGCAGTTGGTAGCGTTTTGATATTTTTTTAGGAGCCAAGATGTTTTGTAGGCACCAAAAGATTTGCTCTAATGGAAGCCCAGCCTATGCTTGCACTTTGAGCTTAATTACCTCGATTCCCATGAAAGATATCAAAGATCTGTCAACTGATAAAATATTGATGGTATGATGATAATCAATTTATTAGTTGACAAATTCTTGATATCTCTAATAGGGATCGAGATATTTGAGCTCAAAGTTGACAGTGTGGGGGCTTCTTTTTGAGAAACTACGGTAATTTAGTCACTCCGTCATCAATTTCCAGAAACCCACTCAACATTAATATCTCAAGAATTAGTCCGAAAAAAATGTCCGCGAGGAAATTTGTCTTCATAGTCTCATCCATTTTTACGCGCGGAAACTCGATCCGCTTCGGGTTTTTGGCGTAGTGTTCTCGTGTAGTGATGACGAAAAGAGTGGACACAAACCCAGTTTCCACAATTAATTTGACCGCGACGACGAATTTTCACACATTTTTTCGTACAAAATCTGGAAGCAAGTCTGTGTAGGGAAATATTTATTTGGCATTCGTCAAATCCGAATCATCTTGTATAATTGATGTTCCGATCTCATTCTAGCATCAATAAACCATCCGATTCTCCCTTAATAAATACAGTACAGTTTCACTTGATCGTCCCATTACAGACAAAGAGATCAATGAATGAGAAGGAGAAAAAAAGGAAAGTTTCTCTTTATATGGGAGGAATGACATGCTAATTCGCATGTTCACATTTGGTACCTGAAGGAATTGGAATGAAATTAGAAAAACTAATTGCCATTGATTCTTCAACTTTCAACAAACAATAACTGTGGAAGAAATGGAATCAAATGTATTCTTTGAACTAAAAACTTGCGTTTAGGATCCCGCCCTATACGCCAACTTTGAGCTCAATTATCTCGGTTCCTATGAGAGATAGCAAAAATCTGTTGACTGATAAAATTTTGGTGATATTGTGATAAAAATGTTGTCAGTTGACCATTTTTTGATATCTCTTCTAAGATCCGAGATAATTGATCTCAAAATGTTCAAAGTGGCCGTTTTTCATCCGCCGCCTAGGCTTGTTTTCTCAGCTTAATTATCTCGGCTCCTATCAGAGATATCAAAAATTTGTAAACTGATAAAATGTAAACAATATTATGATAAACGTTTTATCAGTTAACAGATTTCCGATATCTCTCATAATAACCGAGACAATTGAGCTCAAAGTTCAAGTATCGGGTGGGCTCCTATTTGAGCAAATATGATAACCCAGCTAGCTCAAATTCAAAAATTTTTGCCCAATAAGAAAAGGGAAATGTTGAACTAGAAAAGCTCTATAAAATTAAGTAAGTTTCTCTAAAAATTATATAAATAAATTATTTTTCAAAATTAAAAAGAAATACAAACTGTATAAAAAAGATATGCCTGTTTTGATTACCAGACTTCATCTGTAAAAAGTGTCTGCTCAAAAAAAACTTTCAATTATTATGATTTTTATATCATTTTGCAGATCTTTTCAAAATCTATATCTTACTAGTAACATCAATCAAAAATGTTCAGTTTGAAGAAAGCTACCGTAGACACTCTGCCCCTACACCGTCAACTTTGAATTCAATTATCTCGGTTCCTGTAAAAGATATAAAAAAAAGATCAACCAATAAAATGTTTATCATAATATTAACCACATTTTTGTAGTTTCCAGTTTTTCGATGCCATTCACAGAAACCGAGATAAACCGGGTCAAAGTTAAGAGCTAGTTCAAAGTGTTTACGGTATGCACTATTTTGTAATTCAGGTCAAAAATATGAAATTTATGCCATCAAAAAAGAAAAATAATGAGAAAAATGGTTTATTATTAGTTAAAGTTTGATCATAATTTGAATAAATAAATATTTTCAGAACAATACATTTTCTAAAAAATGTAACTTTCTACCCAAAAAATTAGGGCCAAAATGACCATTCCAAATAAATCAAGCTTCTCCAACACTTTTCCAAATACCTCTTTTCATCGTCACGCGTCGTCTCCGATGACAATGCCAATTTTCGCACCGCTTCCGACGTTTACGTCTCCCTACTGCTTCTGGATGATGACACTTTGGCCCCGATTTCATTGATCCGTACGGGATATATGTATGTGTCCCGTATGTATTCAAAGCCTTTGTGTTTGTACAATGGAAGATTTACATATATCTTTGATATTTATTCACATTTTTTTAGTTTAATTTCAATTTTTCACCACTAGTTTCTATCTCTCCTTTCTCTGTTTTTCCCACCCTCACCTAGTTTCCCCTCGTTTTCTTCTTATACTTAACTGCCTTGGCGACTGCTAGTCGCCGGCGGAGAGATGGCCGAGCGGTCCAAGGCGCTGGTTTAAGGCACCAGTCCCTTCGGGGGCGTGGGTTCGAATCCCACTCTCTTCAGTTTCCTTTTTTCGCTTTATTTCGAGAAGGTAAAACGTTCCCTATGTGTTCTTCTGCCAATGTCGACCAGTTCCTTTGCCTTGCAGCATCGAAATGACGTGAGAGAGGCGAATGAAAATCACTCTGGTTTTTTTTGTCGCCGACGTCGTCGCATATCCAATCCTTGCTGAATCGCTGGCGGTCATTTGCGGATTTGAATTGTCCTCCTCCTCTCTCTAAAGTCTAGATTCCCTCTAGACACTTTTTTGTTCTGATGATGGCTTCTTCTTCTTTTCCAAGTTAGAACAAGAAAATTGGAATAGTTCTTTTTTTTCCAAAATCCGGTACAATTTTGTTCGTAATTTTTTTTGGAATATATTTTTTCATTTTTTCCCATCTCTGGTTCTGAATATTTGCCTAAAACTTTTGTTATTGTTGATTTTTTTCTCCATGAATGGTGATTTTTTTCTCTCGTGTTTGTCTCTTTTTTTCTATTGAAGTTTGGTCCCAAAAATCATTTTTATTAGTTTTTCACAATTGTTCCCTCTGGAATTTTCTTAAAGAAAATTTTCAGTTTTCAAAAATTTTTTTTGAGAATTTTCAGAAAACTTGGCATCTATAAAACATTATTAATCTTTGAAATCTGTTTCCATTCATTTTGCCTCTGATAACATTAATAATTTTCAAAGGCGCATGCTTCTTAATAAATTTTTTTGAAAAACTGTCAAAATGGCCACACCGAATTTTATCTCAGTTCGAAATCTTATCTAAATAGGCAAACATTTAGATTTGGAAAAATATTTTTTTTTGCAAAAAAAATTGCAAAATTGAGTGTGATTTTGATTTTTATCTTTGGTCCTTGCACTTGGAAATTTTGTTTTTGGGTATTTTTGATTTTCGAAAACTCTAAAAAAATAGTGCAACCTGGAATTTCAAAGATTTTTTTGAGAAAATTGTTTTTTTTAATTCCGAAAAATTTCTTAAATACTAATTTGAAAATTTTCAAAATTTCAATAACTTCGAAAATTCCAAAAACCCATCCAAAAAAATCCAAATTCGAAAAATCAAAAAATTCTAAAAAATCTTTTTAAAACCTGTAACAGAAGAGCCCTCCCCCTCAACTTCTGACTTTGAGCTCAATTATCTTGGTTCCTATGAGATATAAAAAATCTGTCAACTGATGAATTATTTATCATATTATCACTAAAATTTTATCAGTTAATTAGTTTTTGATATATTTCATAGAAACCGAGATAACTGAGCTCAAAATGCACATACAGGGTGGGAATAGAAGAAATACGGAATGTCAAAAGTCCAAGATTCAGAATTTTCAAAATTCCGATTTTTTCAAATTTTCCATTTTTGAATACTGATTTTCCAAGGCTTTCTCTTTTTTTCGAATTTTTTCGGATTTTCGAATTTCTGATTTTCGAATTTCCGAATATCCTAATTTTCAAAGCTCTGAATTCCCGAATTTTCGAATTTGATTGTGATCCAGATTCTGAAACTTCAGAATTTCAGAATCTCAAAAAAAAACAATTTTAAAATTTCTTAATTCGAAAGTTCAAAATTTCGAAAATTAGGAAATTCGAAAATCAGAAATTGAAAAATTCTAAAAAAATACAAAAAAATAACCAACTTTCCAAAAACAGAAAAAAACAGAAATTCAGATTTTTGAAAATGTTTTTGATATCACGATATAACAATTTATCAGTTGACATAAATTTGGCACCTTTCACAGGAACCGAGATAAATTGGCTTCAAGTTAATAGTACAAGTATTACTGTAATTTCATGAATTACCTAAAAAGTTCATTGAAACAATACCATTTTGTTATACATACATTCTACCTCCGAAAACCACGCCCTTTCCCTTTTCATTCGTTTTCTTTTTTTCCCATTTTCAATTCTGATTTCTATTTCAATTCTGATTTCTATACAAGTTTCATCTATATTCCCTTTTTCGCCCATTCGGTTTCATTCGTTTTCTTCTTCTTTTTCAACATCATCAGATTCCCGAAAACACCCGAAACGACTTCTGTTGCCGACCTCTTCTAACTGTCTGCGTCTCTCTGATCCCTATACTATTTCTTTGGTTTCGTTTTGTCCTCCGTGAAGGAATGATGACCTCCTCTCCCGTCTACGGTCTAATGGGTGAATCGGGAACGAGATATCCCCACCGTTTTAGGCAAATTTCTTTTTTTCTGATATCTTCTTCTATCAAAAAAACTACAAAAACTACAAAAATGACGTCAGAATTTCCGATCACTGATTAGAAAGTTTAGGATGTTGTCTATTGGAAAAAAAAACTGATTAAAGATTCAAGAATTCAATTGTTTTCAAAAAAATAGAGGTATGAAAAGACCAACCTCGTGATGAAAAAATGAGGTTTTTTGGCGT